CATCAAGATGTGAATATTGAAAAGTGTTTTAAGAAAAAGAGAGCATCAGAATTAACCAGGCCCATTTGAAAAAGAACTTCAAAAAAAAGAAACATGAAATAATTTAAATGAGTAATGCAATGAATGGACTAAATAGATTAGTCATGGCTGAAGATAGGATAAGTGAACTATAGAACTGAGCAAATTATACAGAATGAAGCCCAGAGAGAGAAAGATTGGAAAGCCTGAAAGTGAGATGAAAGATTAACATATTATGAAAAGATCTAATAAATGTCTAATTGAGATTCTGATGGGAGGAACTAGAGAATGATGTAAAAGCAGTTTTCGAAGATGCTAGCTAATACTTCTGAAAATTTAAACATTAAAGTAGGTTTAGGAATTTCAAAAAATAGGTTTTTTTTTTAATTCATATATACAACTTCTTAATGAGCCTTCATAGTAGAAAAAAACAAAAGATCTGTAAAGCAGCCAGAGAAAACTAGATTGCCAAGATGGTTGGTTTCTCACCAGAGATAATGGAAACCTAAAGATAGTGGAATGGCATCTTTGAAGGGCTGTTAGTCTAGAATTCTATACTCAAAGAAATTATTTTTCAGAAACAACAGTAAAATAAAGTCATTTTCTGAGGCTACCAAAAGACTCTTTGAAGGTTACATTTATAGAATGTTCTTCAGAAAGAAATCATTGATTCCATAAGGAAGTGTGAGCTTCAAAAAGAAATAGAGCAAAGAATGCTTTCGTAAGGCTAAGTAAACATTGATTGTTTAAATTAGTAACAGTAATGAGTAATTTCTAGAGTTAAAAAATCCAGTGAATAACTATAATCCTGGGGAACTAATATGTCAAGAGATGGTTAATCAGAGTTGAGAAAAGTATTGATGACTTTAGCCTTGGTGCTATTAGGTACCCATGATCAAATCCTTAGGATAACCACGAAATCAGCAGTTCTCAACCTTTTTGGCACCAGAGACCAGTGCTCCTATGAGAATCTAATGCCTGATTATCTGAGGTGGAGCCAAGGCAGTGATGCTAGTGCTGGGGAACAGCTGCAAATACAGATGAAACTTTGCTTGCTGGCCCACTGTTCACCTTCTGCTGTGCGGCCCAGTTTCTAACAGGCCACAGACTGGTACGAGTCTGCAGCCGGGGAGTTGGGGACCCCTGCACTAAATAATAGAATGTATAAAATTCAAACTAGTAAAGGGTAGAAATATATGGGAATGAACATAAATATATGAGTAGATACTGTTATCATATATGGACTATCAAATTAAAGACAAAGGTAGTTAACCTGGCTTGAAAAAAACAATTACATGCTATTTATAAGAGATAAACTAACACGAACACATAATGTTTGAAAGTAAAAGGAACAAACAGGTAACTAACTTAAAAATTAACTACATATTCATAAATGTTTTTTTTCCACTGGATAGATTTAACAATCCTATTCTAAGTAAAATGAAAATCAACAGAACTGCAAAGAACTTAAACAAAACCACAGTATAATGAGCAAGCCTTGACATTATAGACTTACAAAGAACAATTGGAGAATATACACCCTTTCAAGCAATTGGAACATTTATAAAAATTGATCACATACTTGGCCATTGTGTGAGTCTCACAAAATTCGAACAGTCGCTTCATAAAAATTATGTTCTTTTATCGCAAGGTAATCAAGTTATTGATCAATATCAAAAAAAAACATAACACCCTCATGCATTTGAAAATTTTAAATCATAAATAACCCATAGGCCAAATAATAAACTAGAGCAGAATTAAAAACAAATTGAATTAATTAAAATAGATACAATAAAGTATAAGAACAATGGATTCATAAAGGGAATTTGACATTAAAGTTAAAATAACTTATACCATGAAGTAATATGCAACAAGAGCCTAATGAAGATCATAAATAATTGATAGAGAAAATTTTTAGTTTAGCTTGGGGCTTAGTACCTATGAGTTTATTTCTGTTTTGTTCATTCATTTATTTTCTTTAGATTCCATGTAAGTGAAATCATATGGCATTTGTCTTTCTCTGTCTGACTTAATATAGTCAGCATAATACCCTCTAGGTCCATCCATGTTGTTGCAAATGGCAAGATTGCATTCTTTTTTATGGCTGAGCAGTGCTCCATTGTATATATGTACCACCTCTTCTTTATCCATTCATCAATTGATGGACACTCAGGTTACCTCCATATCTTGGCTATTGTAAATAATGCTGCAATGAACATATGGATGGATGCACATATCCCTTCAAAGTAGTGCTTTGGGTTTCTTCAGATAAATACTCAGAAGTGGGTTTACTGCGTTCTTTTTTGTCTCTTGTTATAGCCTTTGTTTTAAAATTTATTTTGTCTGGTATAAGTATTGCCACCTCAGCTTTTTTGTTTTTTTTCATTTTCATGAAATATCTTTTTCATCCCTTTACTTTCAGTCTGTGTGCCTTTCAATCTGAAGTGTGCCTTTCAATCTGGGTCTCCAGTAGGCAGCATATGTAAGGGTCTGGTTTTCTTATCTATTCAGCCACCCTGTGTCTTTTGATTGGAGCATTTAATCCATTTACATTTAAAGTAATTGTTGACAGATATGTAGTTATTGCCACTATATTATTTATACTTCTTTTTGTTTCTTCTTCTTGAAGTTCCTTTAACATTTCTTGTTTGGTGGTGATGAAATTCTTTAGTATCTTCTTATCTAGGAAGCTCTTTATCTGTCCTTCGATTCTAAATGATAGCTTTGTTGGATAGAGTGATCTTTGTTGTAGGTCATTGCTTTTCATCAAATGTTTTCTCTTTTAAAAACGTATCATTTGTCTGATGGTTAAAGTGGCACAACCACATATCAGAAGGGCAAGATAATTATCAGTACATCAAAATTAAGTACTGTGTATGATAACCTAAAATTGCCGTAAATAAGATGGTTATGTTTCAAACAACAAATTTGGAAACATACATGTAACAGATATGATAGAAAGGCAGTAAGAAACTTGGGCAAAGGGCATGAAAGGATTATTCACAAAGCAAGAAATAGAAATAACTAATAAATATTTGAAAATATGTACAACATCAAATGGAATCAGAGGGGATAAAAAGGGAAGCCACAATGAGAACATTTTTCATGTCAGATTAGCAAGAATGAAAAAGATTGAGAAACTCATACTTAGGGGTTTATGTAAAAAGAGGTTTGTCTAGATATTTTCTCCATTCTTATTGTCATGCAGCTTGGCTTATGGTCTTTTTTCCTTTGCCACGTACAAAAATTTAATGTTTTGTAGTAATTTTATTAAACTTGTAGTTTTTATGAGGTTTAATGATATTACTTTCATCTACTGTTAACAGTTTGACAATATATTCTGTACTCCTTGTTCCAGTAATTCCACTTCTAGGAGTTTGTCATAAATTATATTTATGAAATATTTATGAAATATTTATAAATATATACACACACATACACATTCACTCAAGACTGTTTCTCATAGCCTTGTCAGTATTAGTGAAAAACTGGAAAAAAATTCAGGAATAGAGGACTCGTTAAAGGCACTGCGTTGTGTATGTATACATACATATATAGAGAGAGAGAGACATATACGCACGTTATGTACCTTTTGAAAGATTATGTGGTATAATACCAATCATTCAAATTATATATATCTTAATATTTACAAAGAAATGTATGTATGACATTACTACTAAGTTTGTGTAAACTTGTGTACCTATCAGTTATCAGTTGTAAGCAGTAACTCGATTATAGTTGCACAGATGATAGTCATATCCCATGACAAGTATGGTCTGAAGCACCTGTGCTCAAATAAAAAAGCACTACAATGGAATTTGGAGGGGCCTTAGTTTTAGTCACCCTTTGGCTGCTTTCAACAGATCTCTTTACAAACCAAGGCCTCCTTAAGTGTCCTCATCTCTAAAAATGAGGGAAGGGAGGTAGGCATTGGACTTCAGTAGCAATGACAAATACACCATAATGGTTGCCACATCCCATTTCTGCAGCCCGGCCAGACATAGTCATCAGTCTTACTGTCCTTTCTCTGGGCTCAGCCATGCTTTAGAATTTTTTTCAACACACTGTTTTAGGCCACCATTTTAAAGCCAATTGTCCTTTACTCTTGAAACTTCTTTGCCATCTTCAGACAAGATAATCTTAGAAGTCCTTTCAGCTAAGGGATTTTTCTGACCACTGAGCAGAGTTATTGAGAAATAACAAGGAATATCTTTCAGAAAATGTATTTACTTTTCTAGTAGCCCCATTTTTTAAAAAGCAGTAAAAAGTAAATAATATATTAAATATATTATTTAATAAAATAACTTTTGAGAGTATATTTTATTAATATATTTCAATGTGTCATTGATATAAAACAGTTATTAATGGGATATTTCACGTTTTCAATTTTGTTTTTCCATAAAATCTTTGAAATCCAATGTGTATTTATAGCACTCTCATTTTAGATGATAAATTTCTTTTAGAGATACTTGATCTATATTTAAGCTTACGGTTTCAAAAAAAAAGTAGAATCTCATATGTATATTCTTACATTTTCTAATAATTGAATTGAGTACTAGTTTTTAAATTTAATTTAAAGTAAATTAAAAATTAAGATGAAGTCATACTAGCCACACTTCAAGTACCCAAGAGACATATATGGCTGGTGGTTACCATATTGGACATCAGTAGTTTAGAGGATACAAAGAAGTATACAATTTGATTTTAGCCTACAAGGAGATTTTCTAGTTGGGAAAGCAAGATATAAAAAATAAATATATCAAGAATATAATCCAGAATATAATCATATAATAGAATATAACAGAATATAGTAATTAAGTGCTAAAAATTGAACAGACTGTGTTACTTGGGTAGGAGATTCCAGAAAAACCCCCAGCTTGATACATTCTTCACCACTTTGAAGTCTGAATGGTGGCAGTGATGTGTTGAGTTTTTGAGAACGGAGTGTCTTACTTTAGAAAGTGCGTGTGTTCTCCCTGCAGGCATGGGACCCGCTGCGCTGGAGAAGTGGCAGCTGCGGCAAACAACTCTCACTGCACAGTCGGAATTGCTTTCAACGCCAAGATCGGAGGTATGGGAAACAAACTTACATGGATATAGAAATCAGCCAAGAGCTCTTGTGTTAACTGGTTTCAGAACCCTTTTGAACTAAAGACAGACATTTGTTTGCATAATAGTGTTCAACTATTGCTGACAGCAAAATGACCATGTTAACACGTGTTATCAAATAAAGTGTTGCAAACACAGACATTTCTTTTTTTAAACAGGCATGTAAAAAGGTTGTCCAGTACTGAAAATGGGTTCGGTGACATACTGTACTGAACTATGTAATTGGTACTTGGGTCAGAAAGAACTATAATAAAATACTAGGCTGTGATATCTCTATGGAAAGAAGTATTTTGAAATTCTGTTAAAGTGGAAAATTTTTTTTCGTTTCCTTAGGCTTTATGAAAAGTTTCTTTTAACTTCAATTAAAATGACAAATAGTAAAATCTTTTATAGTCTTCTAATGTAGTAAGACTGTTATCATTAATAATTCCAGATTTATATACACATGCACGCGCGTGCGCGCACACACACACACACATACTCAAATATACATAAACTTACTACAAGGACCCAACCACAGGTGTTTAAATCCAGGCTTTATAAAAGCAAACTCTTACTTTTCTATTTGAGACATCTTTGTTAGCATAGCCTGTTGCCACAGCCATGTGGAAATGGGAAGAAAACATTGTAAGAGATGGTTTAGATCCCAGCAGCTTTGTCAGGTGTTCCCTGCGGGTCTTATTGGGTGTCATATGATGAATGAAGTTCCTGGAACAAGGATGACATCCTTGTTTCCAGTACACTATTTGCTTCTAAAAGCTAAATAGAATTGGATCTTAAAAAAATGACAATTCTTTCTAGGATAAATGTAGAGATAACATGAAATATTTGGGGTCTATAATAGCAGTGCTAAGGTTTTCTGAGACTACCTTGAATGTCAGCCCTCAGTAAGTTTGACTTCTTTCTTTCCTTTATTTCACCCTGAATTCTTAATATATTGCAACTTGTAAAGCAGTAATTAGCTAAACTCTGAGAGTATCTGCTATATGTCAAGGAGAAGGTTCATGAAAGAGCTAAGGAAAGCAAACCACTTCCCTCTGAAAATGATGAGGATGCTGGAAGCCCTTGCTCTTCTCAAGAGAATTACAAGACTACGGTGGCTTCCCACTCAATCCTTCTTGCTGTCCAGGCACACACAATCTCCCACAACAGAAATACGCGTCCATGTCCTTGTCATTACTCTCCAGTGCTAACCCAGCACTTTCTGACCTTGAGGGAATGCAGTGATGAACTTGTGAACCTCACAGATAAGTTGCTGGCTGGCCTAGCTGAACAGGATCTAAGTAAAAAAAAAAAAAAAAAGAATGTATGGCAATGGCTCACAAATGTTCTGTCATCTTAAAAACAAGAACATTCTGAATTATAAACTTAACTCCTCAGACCCAAGGAATGAAAGCTTGCAGTTAAATGAAGATAAAGCAGTTTTTCATCTTTTAATTTGAGGAAACAAAATTCTTGTCAGCTTTTGGTCAAAAATTAATATTACCCTCTAGATATGATTTTATCATTTGTGTGTGTGTGTGTGTGTGTGTGTGTGTGTGTGTGTGTGTCACATAATTACATGATGTAAAAACTGAATTCAGGTGCTGTGTAGATACTCCTGCAAATTAACATTTAAAGATATGGTTAGTCCAATGTTTATCTTAGACTTCCCAGTACAGGTAAAATAGTTTCATTTTATGCTTTTAAACAGAAAGTAAGATTATGAAGTAGTTCATCCTTCTTTCATAAAAACCAAGCAGATGAATTTGGAATATTCATATCAAATGAAAACAAGCCAATGGCTGCTCAGGATCCAGTACATGCAGGACACCATATTCTATGCCCACAAAAACTACTGACAAACTTTCTAAATACAGTTTCCATTTTGTAATTTTTTTTTAATTTTTAAAATTTTTATTTAACAAAATTCTTTGGAACATTTATTATTTTTTTCAATGACAGTTAATACTCAATATTTTATATTAGTTTCAGGTGTACAGCATATTGGCTAGACATATAGATAATTTACAAAGTGATCCTCTGATTAGTCTAGTACCCACTTGGCACCATACCTTGTTATTACAATATTGTTGGCTATATTTCTAACCTTTGTTCTCCATATCTTCTGTTTATTTACATCTCCTTTAAAAATCCAAATGTCTGGAAGAAATGACAGTCAAGAGATATAACAATCAAATGCAGTGTTTTTAGGGATGCTTTAGGAAATCTAATGTTGTCCGAGTATTTTATTTTTTTGGTTAAAAGTATTAAAGGCTATAGTATCATATCTGTCATATAACAAAATGGTCAGACCAATATTTGTATTTTTAGATAAAGAAAATGTGGCAAAATTTTAACAGTTGTTGAGTATTGGCTATATCAGTATTTATTGTCAGTCTTTCTATTTTTCTGTTTATAAGTTTTATAGTTAAAAATTAAACACTTTTTAAAACACAAGATATAGTTTCTTAAAGAATATTTTTATTTTCTACCAGAAATACCACTTCAAACCACAGAATATCTAAAGCTGCCTGATTTGAGGTTTTATTATTTAATCCACATTTATTGGTAATCAATAAAAACCTGAAATTCTACTTGATAAACAACATTTTCCTAAGGAGTAAATTGGGGCTGCAGAAATATATTTTTAAAATAATACAGTGTCTCAGTGATGATATTTAGCGTAAGCTGAAGGACTTAAGTTTTCTTAACAATTAGTCATTGTGCTTCTCCAAAATAAAAAGAAAAAGAAGAGCCTGGCATTTGGCATGTAATTTATTTTTTGAGTATCTGTGTCTATTTTTTTGCAAATTAAGGCTAATAATAAATTCCTGTCTGTCTGATGGGAATATACTTAAATGAAGATTAGTGACTAAGCATTGCTAAAACCCTTTGAGAATTGTTTGATATGTTACATACACAGAGAACATTTTCATTTATTATTTGACTTATAAATAATTTGGCAAAGAAATAATATATTAGGTTCATATCAGTCTTACAGATTAGGAGATAATATTAAATATGGAGGAAATTAGACCAACCTAAATAGGTAGCTTTCCAAGTTTTTTAAGACTGCTAAGGTCAGAATGTTTTATATCAATTATGAGCACAAGCGATCTAATGAAGAGAAATTTAGGGAAGATGGATTGCTTGAGGCTCTCTGTCAACTACTCACTTACTGCAGGGATAAAGAGAAAGGAGAAATTGTGGAAACAAGAGAACAATGAGTAAAAAAGGTTTTAAAGAAGTTTTGCCCCTTTACACGCAACGTAACTTCCTTCTTCCCCAAGAAAGCTTCAGAAAAGTCTGCATTGTCTTTTTCTGGGGAAAATATGCTCACTTAAGTGTTAGTTAAAAGTTTATCCCCCCCCACCTCCGCTTCCGCTGCAAATGCTGTAGCTGCAGTAAGTCTTGGATTGTTTGGGTATTATACAGCAAAGCCTCTAATGAAGCTACTTCCTTTCTGTCTTGAAGGAGTGCGAATGCTGGATGGAGATGTCACAGACATGGTCGAAGCGAAATCGGTTAGCTTCAATCCCCAGCATGTGCACATCTACAGTGCAAGCTGGGGCCCAGATGATGATGGCAAGACTGTGGACGGACCAGCTCCACTCACCCGGCAAGCCTTTGAAAACGGAGTTAGAATGGTAGGTTTCAAAAGCCCCTAGGCTCACACCATGTTGATTGATGATGATTCTCATGTCCAGCCATCTATGAAACTATGAGGTCCAGTCCTCCAGTGTAGAGGAATAGATGGAGCTCATAGGCTGAACCAGGAGACTGGTTAATGGAAAGAGATGCTGAACCTTTGGGATTGGATGTTGTATTTGTTCTGCAAATAAACTAAATGCTAGAGAGTTTTCTCTGACAAGAACAGAGGTATATTGGGATGCTTAGATTTGTTCAAAGGAAATATATTCACTCACATGTTAACCTTGCGTTTGGAGAAATGTATTCTTGGCATTATGATTTTCAGGAAAAGTGGGGATCCTGAAACTCTCCAGTTAGTGTTGATAGATCATCCAGCAATGCCCTTCTGGGCATCTCCCTGTTATAGTTTCTTCCCTAGTTCCACCTCTCTCCTAGGACAACATAATTTCTATGCTGCCTCCTAAGTTCCTTCACCAGGCATCTTAACCCTTGGTTTTACTTGATTTCAAAAATTCATGACTACTCCTCCCCGAAAAACTGACTACATAATCTAATGTTAAAACATCTGTTTCATGCAACAAATCTTAAAAATAATCTTACCTTATTTTAGTTAAACATTTTAATTAAATAAAAAATAAGGACACTGTATACTTATAATCATGAAGGGAGGAGAGCTCCCTCAGAAGCAGCTCCTTTCTCTTTTAGTCATGAATTAAACTTTGGATGACTTGGAGTATGCATTTTAATTATGATCTGGGCCTAACCTCCCTTCCCTTCATCATCTCTTTCACTTTTTTGTAATGTAGGTCTACTCCACTCTTATTATCCATCAGCACAAATTACTTTCCTTGCGAGTCTCTGCCCCACCCCATGTCCTACTTACTATACAGCCAAATCCTGTTTTACTGCCAAGCCTCAGTGAAAATACCACCTCTTCCCAGAAGCCTTACTGCTCAATTTAGAATTAAGGGTGAGCAGTCCCCTCGTACCTCCTATACTTTATGTTCTTTCTGGTGTTACATGTAGTCTTTATCATATTGTGTTTTATATCATAGTTTTGTGTGGATCTTCCTCACTGAATTCTAAGTTCCTGGAGAGCAGAGCTTGTGCTCCTCCCATCTGTAGGGGCTTTGCAAAACCCAGAGAGTACATTGAACTCTACTGAATACTCAGTAAATGTTTGTTGAACTTAATATAATTTGCTATGAATTATGCTAACCACAGGGTTGTTATATAGTCTGCCCAGTTTTTGGAGTGGAATGCATGCAGCTGATTAATGTAACATTGCTGCTGGAGTACCAGAAGTACTGAGGCTTCCACCTTTGTGGGATTGCTGTTAGGGTTTTAATCAGAAGACTGAGTTAAGCTGTCTCCTGGTTTCTCTGAAATTGACTGGGGGCGGGGATAGAGGCTGGACGGGGGAAGCTTATGCACTAGTTATGTATGTACTTCCTAACTAAAAAATAGTTCAGATTTGATTAAGATTTTCAGATTCATTAGAGCCCTTTAGAGCTATAGGATGATATTTTAAATCATTGCCTAATATTTGCCTTCAAAGATGTCTCAACACCAAATGAATATAAATAATCTGGTGATTTCTTTACCAAAGTTCTGGGCAGCAGATTACTATTCTCTCTCCCTCTCTGCCATCAACAGAATGGTCATTCAAGCTAAATAAATTGAGCTTAGTTCATATTTGATTTTCAATTTGTGTATGTATGGCTCTTAATATAGTAAAGAGCAATCTGGAATTTTTCGTGAATAAAATACTTACATTAGTAATGCACATAATCTCATGAGTATCCATGTAGAGTGAGTATGCCCATATTCAGTAGCTGTTATTGAATCAGATGATGTGGACCAATGATTTTTAATTTTTTTTTCTAGCTAGAGTATCTTTTATTTGATGGAAATCTTAACTGCAAGTTCAATGCATAAAACTAATAAAAAGAGTTCTTTGAAAAAAGGGTTAAGATTAGAAACAAGTTTATCTGAGAAAGCTATTCAAACTTACAGGAAGCTTACATTTAGAAATAAATAATTTTGAGAAAATTTACTTCATACTCATTATTAATTGCAAAACTAACCCATGCTTATTGTAATAAATCATACTATAAAAATGGAATTAAAAGTAGATTTCCCACCCAACTAGATAGCCATTTTTCAGAGTATGGACTACATCTTTCTGTTCTCCCATGCATGTTCATATACCAAATGGGGATCGTATGCCTCTGCACGTCGCTGTTGTCACCTAACAGTGGGCCTCCTTCCAGTGCAGTCCATAAGGATAGAAACTCATTTATTTTAATGTTTCAAAATATTTGGAATATAGAGATACCATAATTTATTCAACATTTCACTGACGATCTTTTCAGGTTTTAATCTGGAAAGAAAAAGGAGTTTAGTTTTTAAACAAACCATTTAATTTTAGAGTTAAGGTAGTAACAACAGCAACAAAAACCTTAAAAACAACAAATTATTCTTTGGCTCCCAGCATTGCACATTCAGTTATGGAAAAGCAGCAGTGACCCATTTAAATGTGATAAGATCAACGGGATAGGGTTTTTATGTGTTTAATACACAGGCTTGAGACTTAGGCTCAGGTTGAGTCCAGGATCCGTCATTTACTACTCTTTGACCTGATATGGATCAAATTACCTCTCTGCTTCTACTTCCTCATCTAAAGTAGGGTGATAATAGTACTTATAGGGATATTATGAGTGTTAAATGAGGTGATAATGCATAGAAAGCAATTGACACAATACTTGGAACATAATAAGAAGCGCTCAAAAAATATATCATATATCATTTTTCCCTCTTGGAAGAGATCATGCCCTTCCAAAAAACTTTATATTTCTCCTCAGTCTCCTGTCTTTCTCTCCTCTACCATTTCCACACTGTAGAGTCCTTGATGATTTCATTGAGTTACCTGTAGTGGTAGATTAAAAATAATATGGTAAAAGTCTGCAAAGACTTTGAGTTCTGTCCTGTCATTTACTTTATTCTCCCTATATCTATACTACCCTTCAATTTCACTTGCCCTTAAAAGCACATCTTCAATTTCATTGAGATAACCTCTTGCTATCCAAATTCATTCAGTTATCCATGTTCGTAGTCTTGAATTTCATTTATATTTTCCCAAGAGATGTTTCTCTAAATACCTATGAATATATAATTTAATATTTTTAAAGTAGTATAGTCAATAGTTTTTTTTTCCCCCCCCAGGGAAAAGAAACTTTTCACTCCTCTTGTTATTGGGCATCAAATGAAACAGTACATTTTATATTCTTTGAGATTATTCTAATTTGTATTTTTTATATAATAAACATTGCCAAATATATAGAGAATAATTGGATAAATACTTTATACAAAATTAGATTATAGAGCACAATAAATAAATGATTTATTGACTGAGTGATTTAAGGAATGAAGGAATATATAACTAATAAAATAATTTATTCAGGTAGCTAGGGATATCTGTGTGACAGTTTAGAGTCACTCTGGCCTATTGGGATATAGGAACTGGAATTTATTATTTCTATTAAATTTAGTGAACTCTTACTTTCTATACTTTGTAGATAAAGGAGTGAAGTTCTATAAGCAATATATAAAAGTCTACATTTTAGCAATAAGACAGAAAAACATAGAAACAAGACTATTTGAACTTCGGATAAATGTTATGAATTAAATAAAAACTAATGGCTGGGGGAAGACAGAACTGCTTTAGTTAGGAGGATAGTTGTCTTTGAAGAGAGAATATGTGAATGGAGACATAGATGATAAGAGGCCAATCATGTGAAGAAATGTGGCAGGAATGTTCTGTGCAGAAGGAACAGCAGCCTGAGTGGAGAATGGGGTGCATGTACTCACAGAACATAATGCTAATTTGGGCTGTCGGAGCAACATGGACAGAAAGCGGGAGATAAGAGATGGGTTGGAGAGATAGGCAGGGGCCAGCTCAGCAGGGCTTTCTAAACCGTGAAGGGTGTTTGCACTTTATTCTGTTACCGAAAATCATTTTCAGCGGGGTAGTGGCCTGATGGGATACACAATTTTAAAAGATCACTGCTGTGGAGAGAATGGACTGCATATGCAGTGAGGGACAGGGAAGCGAAAGTGGAAGATAAAAATGGTCCAGCAAAGGGTTGATAATGAGCTGGACTAGGGTGATAGCAATGTCAAGAGAACTAGAAAGATTGGTGGTAAGAGAAAGAAGCATTTCAGTATCAAGAAAGATTTCCACAAAGGAAATAAATAAATTTTGCTCAGGGAGTCCAAGTATTGATTGCATCCATTCCTTCTGCTTGCTAATCAAAAAACATAGCAAATATTGGATTTCAAAATGCTCCCTATTTGTTTGCTATAGATAAGGATTTGGCTCAGTAGAATGTAACGCTGTTTTCAAAGACTTTAACAAAATCAGAATTGATTCAATTTATAGCCCCTTTAGAATCAATGTACCAAAATTGCATTAGAGAAACTATGTTGAATAAACCATGTCACAATTGACAACTTGCTCTTTCTCCCAAAGATTACATTTAATTTGATGCTGAGGAGCTATAAAATTAAATGCAAGAATTTGGAGGTATATAACTTGAGTTGCTTGCAATTAATAATAATAATGATGATGCAGCAACAGCATTTAACGTATGCCAGTCTGTTATACTATAGTCACTCTGTTAAGCCTTAAAATAGATAATTTTTAATCTTCACAATAATTTCATAAGATAGATATTGTTCTCTCCAATTTTACAGAAAATTGGTATTCAGCATAGCTAAAGAAGTCAGAACATGGGCCTCAAAGAAATCTAAGAAATTATTTTCCATGTTGTCATTTCTATTTTGTCACCTCTGACCTCCTTCCTTCGTCTGCAACCAAATACTCTAGCTTTTCCCCTGTTATTATGGTGAATTAATTGCTCATGTTCTTCCTTCATCCACCTCCTCCATTTCTTCACTGGATATCATCCTTCCTCATCTCATCAGAGATATGGCT